AAACCCTTGTTCCTTCCTATTATTGCTTATACTCTCTCTACAACAAAATTAGAAATAAAGGCAAAATAGTTTCTGCTGGGTATTGAGGGGGGGGGGGGAGAGGGAGGGGGCGGAGTGGGTGGTAAGGGAGGGGGTGGGGGCAGGGGGGGAGAAATGACCCAAGCCTTGTATGCACATATGAATAATAAAAGAAAAATGAAAAAAAAAAGAAGCCTGTTTTTTTTTTTTCTTTCCTTGCTGCATTGCTGTTTCTGCAGCACACTATTTTTATTATGAACAGGAAGCTACACAAGTTAAAACTGGCTTTGTAGATAGCAGCTCTTTGTACCTGTAGTTTGCATAGTGAGGTGTGCAAACTAGGGAGCTAAGGTTATGGGTGTGTTTTGAAATTAACACACCAATTATTTGAACACTGCTGTGCTGGAGTACAGTTTATTCACTGGGCAGGTTACTCCTCAAGTTCAAACTCCCTCAGCAGACATTCAGCAAGCATCTTATATAACTGATATAAATGAGGCCACGTCAGGGTCAGAACCTCGGAATGCATTTATCACATCATTTACTTGATGAGATGCCCGTATTCTTTAAATGTATTTTAATAAGGAGAATATCTCACCATCATCCTTCTATTGGTATAAAACTAACTCATGATGTGATGAAGTCATTTTCTTTACATGTAGCAATAAATATGTATTATGGGAGAGATACCTTCCTCATTCCCAGGGAAGTTCTTTCTTTTCTGAGGGTCTGAGGCTGTACTTAATCACTAAGGACTGTCCCTATATGTGCTCCCAGTGATGGAAAACAAATGAAAGCATCCAAGAGATGTCCTGATTCTGATATTCAATATATGCTATTTTGGTTATCTAGTGCTGTGAAACTAACCACCCCAAAACATAGTGATTGAAAATTTATTACAGCCTCTCATAGTTCTTTGAGTTGAGTGGACTAAGATAACTGTCTTGCTTGCAGTTTCTCACATGTGGTTGCACTTGGATAGTGGTTGGATCTGGAATCCTCTCATAGGTTGACTAGGTGGGCTGGAAGGTCCAAGATGGTTTCTTTGTTCACTTGTCTAGTGCCTGGGTTCACATAGCCTTTCCACTCAGTTTCATCCTGTGTGGCTTCTCTTTCCATCAAGATAGTCAAACTTCTAAGGTGATGTCTGACTTCAAAGAGTATAAAATTGAGCTGGAGAAGTGGCTCAAGTGGTAGAGTGCCTGCCTAGCAAGTGTGATGTCCCAGCACCTCCACCTCCCCCCCCCCCAAAAAAAAGAGTATAAAATAAAATTGAAAGCTGTCAGGCCTTTGTTAGGCTTAGGCTGAAACCTGGAGGTGTGGCACTTCTAGTCTCCTTCTGTAAATTAAAGCAAGTTTCAGGGCCAGCCTTGACTTCATGTGGGTGGACCACACATGCACCTCATGTGTGCATTTGTATTTGGAGGGGTGGTTCATTGGATACCATCTTTGGAAACTTGCTACCCAATACGCAGGACAAAGTAGAATTTCAGCTATAATTCCTTAGAGTATGAATGTTTTTTGGCTCTAACACAGAAAATAATCAAGGGGAAGTGATAATAAAAGGAAGAAGTCCTGCAATAATGAGGATTTTGCAACTGTTGGTACTTTCTTAGATCTCACAACTTGGTAGGTTAGAGTAAGAGAAGGTAGAACGACGAGTCAATGCATCACCATTATCCACAGTGTGTGTTCCCTTAGAAGCCTTACTTGATGGCACTTACTTTTTGTGAGCCACGAGAGCAAAAGGTACCACAATTCTGATATCTCAAGCAAGCATGGATGGCTGTCTTTTCAAATCAGTAAAAAGTCAGCCATCAGTGCAAATGTACAAGGGTATGTGAAACCCTTGAGGGAAATGTACAAGTAATGTGAAACCAATTAGGGAAAAAAATAAAATAGTAAGGCTATGGGTATAGATCAGTGCCTAGCATGTGAAGTCCTGGGTTGGATCCCAGCACAAGGGGGAAGGAAAAAAAAAAAAAAGCTGAGAGCTTGGCAATAAATGGGCTCCCCCGGCACCAGGACAGAAGAGAAAAAATAGCACCTCCTCTTTCCTGCTCCCCTGGTGCTTTTCAACATGCAGCATTCTGTGCCCTCACATGAAGACAACTGTATTTGTCTGCAAAGACTGGGAACCTTAACATGGGTGGTCTGAGACAGGTTCCCTTCTCTTATGCTGAACCATCATTCAAGGGAAAAGAGTTTTTTCTCAGTGTTTATTTTTCTTTCTTTAGCATGTTCAGACTCTTATCATATTCCTCTCCTCCCTTTGAAAATATGTATTCTGCAGGTGCCTGAAATAATATACTCCCAGCAAACTGCAGTTTTGTAAAGGTAATGATTACTTCATTCATGTAAACTCAATGGAAATTTTGTTGCTTAACAAGGAAATACCAAATACTTAAAAATCCTTCAGGGCAGTAACTGTGTTATATATGGCTTTGGTATCTTCTACCTCCTGGGCTTATTGTCTACCTTCTTTGATGAAGTAGTTTTAGTAAGTAACCTGAATTGTTAACACTATGTTCTTGTCTCCTGTGATGAAGAAATGTCTTTTCATTATTATTTCTTTGACTTTTTTGTCTGATTCTTTGTAAATAATTTCTCCCAAGCTTGTTTTCAGTGCGCAGATCACTTGCTGGCTTGTCATCTAACAGATGAAAAGGTTTAATTCAAGTTGAAGAAGCTTGCTTCAATTACAAGGGATTAATTTAGGCTCCAATTATCTCAAGGAGTATTTGAGCATACAATTTTAGAAGTAAGTCCTGGGAGTGTCAAATTACGCAACCAAGAGAAAGTTAACTTCTTTGCAGTTTTGGGGGAGTTGATCTGCTATAGTCAGACTTTTTTTTGGACAGGTTTTTTGAATGAAGTAAAACCACTGTTGGTACTGTTTGCTTCACCTGGTTTTGAATAAATTCTAGAAGATAGAAAATGCAAACCAGGTTTGTTAGAAAAATTGTTTATCGTAAGAGAAAAAAACCCTCAAAATCATTTATCCTCTTAAAACTTTTAAGAGTTTATAATATTTGCTTTCAAATTCTTGGAAGTTTTCTGTGCACAATGATTTTTTAAATATTTTAAATATAAGAATACATACTCATTGTAGATCAAAACAGAGATGAAAAATCATGGTTTTACAACTATTAATATATTAGTAAGCATTCTTCAATTCCCCCCTCCCCATGCACGTTTCTACCAAACGGGCCCACTTACTATACATTTTACCATTTTATAAGTTGGTCCGTGGAAGAGAGGATCGCTGAGTAAACCCAGGAAAAAGTAACTAAAGCAAAAAGGATTGGGGGACATGACTCAAGCCGCGAGCTCAAAACCGCCAAAAACCTAAAACAAAAAGACCCTAAAAACAACAAAAACTTTATCATGAAAACTGAAGTCAGTACAGGTTGTAGCTCAGAGACCGCTGCAGGAGGTCATCTGCAGCAAGGTTTGTGCGCTTTGGCGAGAAGAAGCGCTGCGGCGTGGGCAACGCCGATCCGCCGGTCCTGGGCCACCTCAGCCGGCGTGAGAGCGAGCGCGGGGCGGCCAAGGCGTTCAGGGTGACCGCGAGCACGCGCTCCCCGCGTGGCCCGCAGCTCCTGGGCCGGGCTCGGCCGCCCAGCTCCGGAGCGCAGCTGCTGCCAGAGGGCAGTTGGCGGTGCACTCGGCCAGGCCCCAGCCCCCAGGCCGGCGCCACGCTTGGCCGCCGCGTTGAGATAAAGCGGGCAAGGTTCTGCAACTCCAAATCAGGGAGGAGCAGCCGCGATACCAGCGCCGGGGTTCCGGGAGCCTTCGTCCCAACTGTTTAAACTGATCGAAGCGCCAGAGCCCGAGCGACCTTCGGCAAACAACTCTTTATCTCCGGGGAGAGAGCACAGCCTTGGTGCAGGGAGGGAAACAGCGCCGAGCCCGCGGGGCGCACGGTGTCCCCCTCCCGGCACTCCACCCTGTGGGGCCCCAGCCCACAGGCCCTCGGCCGCCCCATAACGCAGCTTCTTGCGTCAGCGGCCGCGGGGGCGGGGGATTTTCGGAAGCGCGGACCGCTGGGGAAGAAAGGGGCCGGGCTCTGGCCCCGCCCCCCGGGGGGCGGGAGGCGGAGCGAGCAGGAGGCTGGCCAGACACTCCGGCAGAGTAGCCGAACTGTAAGTGCCTGGGAGTTCCGAGGAGCTGTCGCGGTCACCGTCGCCGCCAGTGCCGTCCTGTCAGCGGGCACAGGGTCACCGTCGGGGTTCCCTAGCGCACGAGCCGCACTCAGCATGATGGACTTGGAGCTGCCGCCGCCGGGACTACAGTCCCAGCAGGTGCTGTCCGGACCCTGGAACCCCGTGGTGGTGTCGGGACAGGGTCAGGGGCGCAAGGGGGCCACGGTCCGGGAGGGACACCCAGAGCTGGGACTACAGCGGCCGGGCACCGGAGCCACTGCGCTTGTGCCGGGGACTGTCGGGGGGCGGGGGGCGGGGGAGGGGGGGTCGGGCACCGTTGAGGCAGCGAGAGGAGTGGAGGCGCGGCCGGGTGTCCTTACCGTCAGCGGGGCCTGCCCAAGGGTGACCGGGCGGGGGGCTGGAGGGACGCCCCCGCGCGTGAGGCGAGGAAGTGACGCTAGCCACCACCCCGAAGCTGGGACGCCGAGCCCCGGCATGGCCTTCGGAGTTTGAGCGGCCTCTGGGGCGGTGGGACTGGAGGGGCGGACACTAGTGGTCTGAGCCGGCGCGGCCCGGCCCTTTCCGGGGCTGCGCAGCAACCCATCCTCGGAGCCCACAGAAATGTGCCTAGTCACGGGGCCGCTCTTGGGGGAGCTGAGGTCGCCTTCGCCCTGAGACCCGAGCCCCTCCTCTGTCGCCGTGTCAAGCGACTTCGGCAGGCGCCGGCTGCGGCGTGGCGCGCTCTCCCTACTCGGCCGTCTGTGGGCGCCTGTTCGCCGAGTAACCCGCCAGTCCCTGCAATCGCCCCTGGTCAGCGTAGATCTAGAAAGCCCAGCCCCGGGGGGCGGGGAGAAAGCCAAAAGTTTCCTGAGCGCTCGTACGCCTCGACGGGCGGCGGGCGGGCGGGCTGGGCTCTGTGCGTTCCCTCGGGCCCCGGTGGCAGTGTGGTTCGGACTCCAGGTTGGACCCTGGCACCGCGGCGGGCAGTGCGGACGAGGGCGACGGACTCAGGTTTGAGTCGGCCGCACCCCGGCTTCATCTTCCGAGAGCGGTGGCTCCCAGTGGGCAGCGTGCGGGGCCCCAGCCTCTGTGACAGCGGCCGGTTGGCTGTCACGATGGCCCTCAGTTGGCCCTTTCCTGCTTTATAGCGTGCAAGCCTCGCTGCACTTGGGCCAAGGGACAAGTTGGAGCTGTTGATCTGTTGCGCAATTGTTATTTTCCCCAGGGCGGCTTTGTCTTGGGATTTAGCATTACAGAATTGCAGTTCCAAAATGTGTAAGGCAGGATATTCTGTTCTGTGCTACGATGGGTAAGAGTTTCGATCGTAGATTAGAACTTCTGTTGCTTTTAGGCTGTTACTAATTTTTTTTGCTTTCAATTATTATTTCTCCTATAGGTCATTTGTATGTTTTTTTCCTTTTCTGTTTGAGAATTTGCCTCCTCAGTTTCTTAGCATTGTTCCCTGTCTTTTGTAAGGGCGAGGGTGGGACACTTATGTTTCATAATACTTTGCTAATAAGTTTTGTTATTAAAGTGAAAAACGTTTCTGTTCATACTTCGTAGAAACGTTTAAAGGAGTAGATGTTTATATTGCCATTTTTTAAAAATTAGGTTTTTAGAAAAAACAGTTTAAGGAAATGTGTAACTTGATAGGACAGTAAATTTGTTTATGCTCCTAAATGTAAAGTTTTAGGCTGATGGAGAAGATCTAATGTAAAGTTTTAAGTTACTGACAATGTATTAATTCTGCTTTTCCTCCTTTAAAGTTGTTTGTCTTGAATTTGGCTCCAGAGATGATTGGGATCTTATTCTCCAGGTTCTCATTAGTATGACGAAGTAAATTTAATTTTTTCCTGTTCATTAGTAATATAGGAATGCTTGTTTGACCAAAGGGTACATGATGTAAATGAACTTTGGTTTTTAAATCTTCCTATCTTTACTGTGTAGTATAGCATTCCAGCCAAAAAAAAAATGCATAAAACATATGTACTGCTTTCTCTTACATGTGAATGTTTCAGTTGTTTGATAAGAATAACTGCTTTTCCACATTTGAAATCAGACACCAGTTTTCATATTGGAAGACTGAAAAAATGAAGTAAAATTTAGAAACAATTTCATTCTATAATTTATGTTAAAAGTCGTTTGTAGTCCAGAAGGATTTGAGTAGAGTCAAAGATTTGAACAAAAGTTAGAGAAGCTCTCCAGGTGTGAAGTGGTACTTGGGTACAGGTTTTCACTTTGTGAGAAGAGGAAGTGTGGATAAACTGAACAATATGGAGACCCTAAGATTCTGTATCTCCATTAGGTGGGAAGAACCATCCATTACTCTTTTTTACAGGCGTCTTAGAGAGATAAAATACTTTTGTAGATGAGGGATGAAGTTGATCTTGGTCTACACCAATGAGATTATTTTTTTAAAAGTCAGACACAAAGACAAATAGGATAGGCCCCTCATCTCCAGAATGAATGGTAAGCAAAAAACAACTTTTAGACTTTTTAGATATGTGGAAAATCTCTTGAGACATTGCGGAAGCAGCATGGAGGAGAATAAATGCACAACTCACACAGCTTTCTGCCTTAAAAATAACTAGGGACATTTTGAAATCTCTTGTTAACTTGGGTTCTTTAACACAAGCAGACAGCTGTTCTTTCTTTAGGATTACCAGGAAGAGTTGAAAGCCAAATACTTTGTTTTTCTTAATATTTTTAATTCAGGATAAATTATACTTAAATAACCTGTGTGAGGAAAGGAGCCCTTCTGAAATGTAGGCTTTTTTTTTTTCTGGGCATGTCTTCTGACTTGACTAAACACATACAAAGGAGGTTTTGCATAAAGAATATTCCTCCTTTAATTTTTCCTTAAGCCTGGATTAACTTTTCAGTGTGCAGGAAGAATTTGGCACTAAGATAATAGAAAGCTGTTGGGCACTTTTCTGCTTGTCAGGCAATATGACAGTTGTCTCACATGCTTAATTTTATCGTAATCTTATGGAAAATACTATTGTCTCTGGTTTTCAGGTTAGGAAAGAGGCACACAGAGAGGCCAAGAGTCCTTGAGGTGACCCAACTGTTGAGTGACTGAGGTAGGATTCAAACCTAGGTAGCCTGACTCTAGAGTCTCCAAATCACCACTTCTAAACTGAACCAAGACTAGTTAAACTTTAAGCAGGAGAAAAAAGCAAAACCCTTAACAAGTGGGTAGATTGAGGGGAAACTGGAAGGAGAAGCAAGAATGAAAAAGATTAATGTCTACCTTGTCCACTCATCAAGGAGTTTAATAATCATGTGAGGGAAGTGAACCTTGTTAAATACAGTAAGTAAAGCTGTTCGTGGAGTGGTCCTTTTCAAGAAAGACAAAGAAAGGCCTGGGTGGATTTTATTTAGAGAGGACTGTTTGTAAATATAATGATTATTTTTAAAATTCCTGGGATTTTTTTGAGATTCCACTTCACATTTTCCAGCAACTGTTTTCTTTTTTTCTTAATTAAATCTGTTAGCTTCTGGAGTCTTTGCCTTTATTTGTCTTGTTAGTTGGTATAGTCTCAAGTTCCACTGACTCTTATTTTGAAGTACTGATCAAAAATAAGTTTGGTAGTGAGAATGTGTAGAACAGTGTGACTGATAGAGTTAGACTAGTTTGAAGGAAAGTGGGTAGATTAGGGGGGAATTTGAGTTGAAAACAGCTAGCAAAAACCTGTTGGCTCAAATTAAACACAAATTTCCTGTTTGGGCCTTTCTGAATTGAAGCAAACATAAGGGCTCAAGTCTATCTAGTTGAAGTTTCCTTGGAATTTTGAGACTGGTACATTTGAAAATTAAATATTTCTTAGTCTTTATTGTTAAATAGTTTTAGGAATTACTGTCTAAGTTGTCTGAGTTAAATATGCTGCAAAACTTTTACAGTTAGGTGGATGATTTGCCTAAAAGTTGGTGTGGGTTAATTCTAGGGTATTTAAATACCTGGCCCAGCCACTTCTGAAAGTGAACTTGACATCTGTTGAACACCAGGGTGTATGTGGCAGGTTACTAGATGTAGTAATTAACCTGCCTGTCCTTGTCTGTGGCTGTAGAAATGTATGTGTAAATTTACTGTAAAATGGAAAATAGAATATGTATTTTAATAACCTGACTAGTTCCAGGAGTTACTGAAATTTCATTGCCACTTGCTTTTAAATAAGTGCCAACAAACATTTGTTAAAAGAGCTTTAAGGTATAGGCCAAGATTTCACAATTGATACTGGTATGTTTTCTGGAAATGAAAGCAAAGTATCTTCATGTGTATAATATTTACATTCCAAGTAATTGGAAAAACACAACTGGTCTTCTTTTTTTGTGTGTGTGGCACTGAGGTTTGAACTCAGGACCTTCACCTTGAGCCACTCCACCAGTCCTATTTTTGTAAAAGGTTTTTTGAGATAGGGTCTCGTGAATTATGTGCCTGGGTTGGCTTCGAACTCTGATCCTACTGATCTCTGCCTCCTGAGTATCTAGGATTATAGGCATGAGCCACTGGTGCCCAGCTACGACTGATATTATTACACTAACCCCTATACAAAAGCAAAAAAGACTTTTAAACAAAATCCTCTCTAAAACTGGATGTTTCCATGTCTTAGCCCCTGCCATATTAAACACTTTTTAAAAAATTTTTATTTTATTCATATGTGCATACAATATTTGGGTCATTTCTCCTCCCTTACCCCCCTTACCCCTCACTACTGGCAGAAACTATTCTGCCCTTATCTCTAATTTTGTTGAAGAGAGAGTATAAGCAATAATAGGAAGGAACAAGGGTTTTTGCTAGTTAAGATAAGGATAGCTATACAGGGAGTTGACTCGCAACACTTTTAACTGTATTAAGAATTTTAACTGCTTGAGCAGCACCTCCAGCCCCTGAAGATCTTTTTGTGTACGTTAGAGTGTAAGCTTATTTAGCCTAGATTATGGCAGTAGTGAAGACAAATCTATTATATGGGTAGAATTTAGAGCATTAAGTTTATTTTTCAAAGGGCCAGTTAATAGGTGACTCTTGAGTGTCACTACAATCCATCAACAGTCTACATTCTGAAGGATATGTTCAAAATTCCTTGGCAATACTGAGCACTCATTCTTTTTATATAGACTGGGATTTTGAGGTCTGTGGACTTTGGGGTCTATAGAAACAGCAGCCCTAATAAGATATGACTTTTATTGCCTTTTAATATCAGAGAAGAAAAATGATTGGGAAAGAAAACATTTGTTTTCTATATTACTTAGTTATCTTTAATGGCCTTTAAAAATCTTTCTTGATAATTGTCTTACCTGTGTTTCCATGTTTTTCTTTTTCTCTAGAGCTAGATCATAAGCTCCTTGAGAACTAGGCATACCATTTATTTTAAGTGAGCTATATTTCACATTCCATACAATTCAGTGGTCTAGTACATTAATATTTGTGCAACCAACACTGTGACCATTGATTAATACTCCCCCAAGAAGCCTCATAGCCATTTAGCAATCACTTCTATTTTTTCCCAATTCCCTTAGCCCCTAGTCACCACTCAGTTATTTTTTTCTCTATAGATTTGCTTATTCTAGACATTTCATATAAATGGAACCATTTTGTGACTGGCTTCTTAGCATAATGTTTTCAAGATTCAACCTTACTGGGCTGGTGAAGTGACTTAAGTGATAGAGTGTCTGTCTAGCAAGTGTGAGGCCCTGAGTTCAAGCCCTAGTACAGTACCACTAAAGGAAAAAAAAAAGATTCAATCTTACATGGCTTGCTATGTCTTCATTCCTTTTTATTGCTGAATACTATTCCTCTGTATGGATAAACCACATTTTATTTATCCACTCATCATCAGTTGGTGGACATTTGAGTTATTTCCACTTTTTATATTTCCTTTTGTTTCCTACAACAGTGATTATCATGCTTTGTTGTGTATTAGTATTCCTTAATGAGAATCTCTGGGGGTGGGCTTAGCCATTATTATGTTTTAAAGCTTCCTACTGGATTCCACTATGCAGTCAGGTTTGAGAGCCAGTGCTGTAGGTTATCTGACTCAGTAATTGATGCCCACTGAAGGTATCATGTAGTGATTTAGGAAAGCAGGTTTGGGTGCTTTACATAAATAATGAAAAGTGGTGTTTTTATGTTTGATCACTAACCTTTGCAGCCTTATGATTAATGCTTAAATCTGGAAACTCTGGGGAGACATCTTAAGAAGAGGGCAACCTCATCTCTTCTTATTGACCTTGACAAGCAAAGTCTTTCCTTCCCGAAGAGGTGTGGTAGGTAGAAGCTCACTGCCTTCCTCTGTTCTGTTGGGGCAGGACTCTTGAAAGTCTGGGGCTCCAGGGGCCTATGGCTTTTGTGTGTTTCAGGTTTCCAAAGTTCACTTGATAATAGTACAATTGTGCAATAAACTTTTAGTGATTGTGCTGCAGAAGATAATAATGAAGATGGAGGAAATAATTAGCCTTTCATTTTGGTTCATGTTACCAATTCACTTCCTATGTTGTGAAAAGAGCCAACCTTTGGTTGTTGTAAGATATCTGATTACAGTCATACAGGGCCTTTGATTCTCCGACCTCCTGTGGATACCAAAATCCACAAATGCTCAAGTCCCCTATATAAAATGGTGCAGTTAGGCGGGCTGTGGTTTAGGCCTGTAATCCTAGCTACTCAGGAGGCAGAGATCAGGAGGATTGTGGTTCAAAGCCAGCCCAGGCGAGACCTGTTCAAGAGACCTTTTTTCGAGACCTTATCTCGAAAATACCCAACACAAGAAAAAAAAGGCTGGTGGAGTGGTTCAAGGTGTAGGCCCTGAGTTCAAGCTGCAGTACCGCAAAAAATAAATAAATAAATAAAAGGTGCAGTATTTGCACATAATCCATGCAAATTTTGCTTTATACTTTATATCATCTCTAGATTAGTTATACTATCTAATACAATATAAATAGTTGTTATACTACATTGGTAGGGAACAGTAACAAGAAAAAAATGTATATATTCAGTACAGAGGTAATTTTTTTATGTGGGTTTTTTGTTTGTTTTTTGGTGGTACTGTGGTTTGAATGCAAGGCTTTGCTCTTGCTAGGCAAGTACTCTACCACTTAAGCCATACCTCCAAGTCCAGAGATAATATGTTTTAATGTTTTCAATCTGAGGTTACTTGAATCTGCAAATGAGGAGCCCATAGAGTGCTAGGTGGCACGCTACCACTTGAGCCACTCCTCGATCCTATCCTGGACACTTTTTGAATTGAGTACTCTCAGGTAAGAGTAACGAATGCTGTAATTGAATAGGTTGATACCATGGTAATAGCTTAATGGTTTAGAAAAGAAGTTTAGACTTTGAGGCAAAGTCAGTTTGCCCACTTGTCCTTTTTCTGACCAACTTGAGTGCAATTACTAATATCCTCTAAGAAAATACACTTAATCAGCAATTATATTGCTGGATTGTTATATTATCCAGATTGTGAAATTCTTTTAATGGACAGTTTAAGATACTATCACATTTGTTTTCTTAAATCAATTTTATTGTTACCTTGGAGGGATGTGTGTTGAAGGGGTGTGTATTAATAGTCCTTAAGATATGTCATACTGTATTTCTAGAAGAGTACCCCCCCAATTTTTTTTTTTTTTTGGCAGTACTGGAAGTTGAACTCAGAGCTTTATATTTGCTAGGCAGGTGCTCTACCTCTTGAGCCACATCTCTAGCCCTTCTTGTCCTAGTTATTTTGGAGATGTGGGATTGCTTTTTGCTGGGGCCAGCCTGGGCTGTGGTCCTCCTATTTATGCTTCTCAAAGAAGCTAGGATGATAAGTGCATGCTACCACAACCTGCTCTTTCCTTTGAGACAGGGTCTTAGGAACTTTTTGCCCAGGCTGGTCTGGAGCCGCAGTTCTCCTGATCTTCACCTTCGAAGTAGCTAGGATTATAGCTGTACAGGTATGCGCCCGGCCCCAAAGAGTAATTTTGAAGTATGGTTACTAGGAATGAAGTTAAATCATTTTTCTGTGACTAGTAGTTGGGTTGTAAGTGATACAAAACATGGTTCCTTTGTTACTTGAGTAATTTGGACTCTATCCTCAGACACCTTAAG